TACAGAACTGGAAGCCAAAATTTGTATGAACATCCATTTTACTTTTATTTATTTATTAGAAGTATTGGGGTTTGAACTCAGGGCCTAGCACTTGCTAGGCAAGCACTCTACCACTTGAGCCACTCTTTCAGCCCTTTATACTTTAGTTATTTTTCAGCTAGGGTCTCACATTTTTGTCCAGGACTGACCTCTAACAGAGCTTCTCTTACCTATGACTGTCACATGGTTGGGATTAAAGGTGGGTACCAACATGCCCAGTTTATTTGTTGGAATGCATTTCTTTAACCTTTTTTTGACCCAGACTGGCCTTGAACCACAATCTTCCCCATCTCTGCTTCCTGAGTAACTGGGATTATAGCTTTGAGCCACTGTACCAAACTAAAAACACTTTTGTAGTCTCTTTAAAATGGTATCTAACTTTTGGGTTTACTTCATTTTCTCCTATGCAGCTGCAATTAACAGTAGCTCAAAGCTACAGTTGTAGGACTCACAAGGCAAGTGTGGGTGAGACCCCTCTGACATCACTAACAATTTATTCATCTTTCTTCCACCAAATGAGATAAGTTTACTTATGTCTAGCTACTTCTTGCAGCAATATCAATCTAATATGTTGCATTATTCTAATTAATGCACACACATTGTATAAGCTTTCAGTGGATGTATCTGTACATACACACAAACACACACACATCCCTTTAACAGATTTTGGAAAAGTTGAGCCTCGTAGTATACAAGAAGTTGCTACTATCTCATTCCTGCTGTTACAAGCATTAATGGGAATTTTATTTGTTTGAGATTGTGTGTGTGTGTGTGTGTGTAAATTCAGCATTATATATATTACCTTTCTAAATCATTTCAGAATCCCTTTGTGATCTATAGAGTCATGATGTTCACGTACCGATGAGCAGCACAGGCTCTAAGTTTCCCTAGACAACTGTTATTATGTGTCAGAATTTGGATCCAGGTCTCTCTGATTCCAGGTCCTGAGTTCTTAACCACAACCCTCTTCTGACTGTTTGACTCTTGTGACAGTCCAGCCACATGGCTTCAATTTTATTATCATCCCCATTTTACAGATGAGAATAGTGGAGTTGAGATGAAGTGACTTATCTAGAGCACTGCTGTTTAATTCTCCCAAAAAACAATAATGGAAGCACAAAATAGCAGAGGAGGCACTGGGAAGTTAAGTAAATTGACCAACATCACAGCTAATATGTGGTAAAGCTAAGCTTCAAATTCAAGCAGTCAGGTTTAGTCCCAGGCCTTAACTGCTCCTCAGTACTGACAGTCACATTAGATTCTGTTTTCCTTTTGTTGAGTTTGGCAGTTTAGCAGCCAAAGGGCCATTTATTTTCCCCAAATACTTTGTTAATTGTAACAGCAAAATGTCGCAAGAAAGTGAGGGTGCCTGGGTTCTTATGCCCATCTAGATGTCCCACAGGTATGGCCACCCCAAAGAGACTTTAGCACTCGTAATATTTTGACCACAACTCTCCATTTAAGCTGCTGTGTATATTGAAGTCTCACGTCTAAAACAATAGCCAACAAAATAAACAGAGAGATACAATTTGATGTCTTTCCCAAAAGTCTCAGCCATTAGTTAGTAGGTCCTAGAAAATTCTCTTATCTCATGCATACTCACTGAGCAGAGTAAGCCTTTGTTGTTTGCCCATTTAAGTTAGTGGCCAGGGCACCTTCCCCAGGTGTGCATTTGACAGTGAATGTCTTCATAACTTTTGAACATGAAAGTATTCCCAATTAGCCACAGGAGAGACCTCAGTTCACTTTGACTCTGAGCTCTATCCCCTCAAGCACATTAGAATCTGAAAAGAAAACCAGTAAAATTAGACACTCAAGAAGTTGCTGATTTAAGTGAAATCTATGAACAACTCCCTTTTGAAATCAGAATAATTCTTCTCTGTTGCTTTGCCTTAACAAGATTCCCACCTCTTCTGATAAGTACCTTGGCATCCACTATGAACTAAAATTTTAACTCACATTTCTTTAGCAACTAAGACTGTATAGCCTACTTCTGCCAGGGAGTTAGGAGTTATAAAACTTATGTCTACACCTGAAGCTATTTGCTGAAAGAGTTGGCGTTTCTTTCAGAACATTCATCAATTAAAAAAAAAAAAAAGACTTTTAACTGAAGACATTTTCCTTCCATGGGGCTATTTTTTTTTTTAACTGAGACATGAGAGAGAGATCATTCAGTTCTCAAAAAACAGAAGCTTTTTTCTGTAAAGGTAAGAATGGTGTGAGAGAAATGGCTTGGGCTTTGGACTCCATTCAACCTGGGTTTGAATTTTGACCTGGAGGCCTTGAGCCTTCACTTCTCCATCTGTAAAATGGGAGTTATAATGTTATCACCAATTGTGCGCAAAGAGGCCAATTACAATTTTTTTCTTTTATTATTCATATGTGCATACAAGGCTTGGGTCATTTCTCCCCCCTGCCCCCACCCCCTCCCTTACCACCCACTCCGCCCCCTCCCTCTCCTCCCCACCCCCTCAATACCCAGCAGAAACTATTTTGCCCTTATTTCTAATTTTGTTGTAGAGAGAGCATAAGCAATAATAGGAAGGAACAAGGGTTTTTGCTAGGTGAGATAAGGATAGCTATACAGGGCATTGACTCACATTGATTTCCTGTGCGTGGGTGTTACCTTGAGGCCAATTACAATTAACCAGGAGAGAAATGATGTCAGAAACTTGATTGTAAGATTTTTGTACAAAGGCTCAGTGATTTCTAGCGCACAATTTGGAAAGACAGCAAATGACAGCTCATAGGTTATAATAAACCCATTGAGAGCCTACAGAAGGGTTGGTAGAAGATGGAGCATGGAGGGGGAGGAGCTGGAGCCTTAGCATCAGATGACTTTCCTTCTTGGTTTGGTTACACATTAGCTGAGTAACCCTCAATGAGTTGTTTCATTTTTCTGTGCCTTGGTTTCTTCTTCTGTAAAATGAAGACAGTATACCCAGCCTTTTTCTCTCTCAGAAACTATTGTGAGGTGAAATGCAATGATGAAGCATGTTTTGTAAATGGATAGTGTGAACTGGCTGTAGAGGTGGGGAGGGGATTGGGGGCAGTGAGTCCTGAGAAGGGGCCAGGGAAATTGCTGGATGATGTTAGTCTTGCCCCAGGGGCTTACCCAGGTCCAAATATCCAAGTCTAAGCATGGATCTTTGGATGCAGCTGAGATGAGTGTTTATGCAGAGAAAGTTGATGGAAAGCAGAAGATGAAATACTTTATTTGGGAGAAATATTTTCATAAGTTTCTTCAAAGGTATGCATTATGCATAGAAAATTTCACACACACATATAACTAAAGGAAGGTGAAACCTGACGCAGGCATTTTTATTGGGAACCATGAAAGCGATCAGAGGGAAGTGAAGGGGAAAAGTAAGCAGTGAAGGGAAGGAGTTTAGTTTTGGAGCAAAGTTTAACTTCCTAACCTAATAATATTTCAAGATTTTGCATTTGCAAAAGAATAATCAACCCTTGTGCTGCAGTTGAAAACATCTCAGCATTATTTGCAAAGCCTCTAACCCAGCCTTGTCTGGTTTTTGAGGGAGGAATCGCTCTTTTCCATGTGTGCAAAAGGTAGGAGTCTCAGTGGAAGACCTCTTTTTTTTTAAACTTCTGTGGTGATAAATGTGTGCGTGGGATCCCGCTAAGCTGGGAATTCCTTTGAAATTTTCCTTTCTCATTTCTCTCCACGGCCCATAGATAGATCCTGGACACATTTGGGGATGAACAGTCTTCAGCCTGGCGGCCCCTGGAGAGTCATGTTCTTTTTGAAAAGAGCTTTAAAAAAAAAAATCAAGGCTGTTTTTTCACTTAGGATAAGAATATCCTTCTCAAAGCAGTGAAGTCTCTACCAGAATAACAGGATCCATATGTTGAAGCTGGCAGTTAATGCTGAACATATGGGCCAGTGAACTTTCCAGGCAGAAATACGCCTCTAATTCTCTAAAGAATGCCCTGTAAACTCCAGAAAGGATCATTACTCAGGTGAGGGATGGCACAGACACAGCTTCTAGGCTTCCTAGGCCCTTCCTTCCCGTAGACTGTGAGCCATGGACAGCAGTACAAGAGGCCCTGGTTGGCCTTAAGATGGACAGTGCTGGCCTGTAGCCCTCTCTGTAAGGCTCCAGGTTCCCGAGGGTATCATGAGACCTTGTCAGTGCTGGCTTGCTTTGCTCATTAAGGAATGGGTTGTTCCTTACACTGAATGGAAACAGCTTACCCTCTACAAAGAGGCCCTTTGATCCCTGTATTCAACTGAGCACAACTGCGATATCTTCAGCACATGCGTAGCTCAAAGAGCTCTTGCCTGAAGGGAAAGTCACGTCACCATTCTTCCTCATCTGGAAAGTGAGGAGGCAGGCCAGGGTGATGTCTGAAACCCCTTAGCTCACAGTGTGGAGCTAAGAAGCACCTAACTCCACCTGGGAAGGAATGATGGGATGCAGCCATGGCCAGTGTCATTTGAACCAAGTTCTCAGTAGCTCTGGCAGCATCGTGTCCCAGCTCAGCCTTGGGTACCATGGGCTACTGTCAGGAAAGGTGAGGGAAGACCTGTTACTGTTCTCGGGGAAGAACTCAGTCCTGAACACCAAATGGCTAATCAAGAACAAATGGGGTGAAGTTACAAGCCTGCCCTAGATTACTGTGATATTTCTTGCAGTTCAGCTTTTGGAAGTGGCTGAGCTCTCTTTTATCCACAGAAGAGAGCTCAATCTTGTCCCCTGCTCTAACCTCTGCCCCACTCCTTCCCCTTTCCCTGGTTCTTTCCTTTTCCATCCCTGACTCCACCCCATCATCTCTCTACAGCCTCTGCTGGATTTCTCTGTGACCTGTTTTGTCTTTTAGGGGGGGCGGTTAGAACGATTGCACCTCCAATGATCTGATGCCCGCATGCACTCCTTTCCCAGCCCCAGGCAGGCCCTTTGATCCCTGTATTCTGCTGAGAACAACTGTGGTCTCTTCATCACATGAGCGCAGACCCAAAGCTGCAGCTGCGCAGTGCTGCCTGCAAGCCGGTCGCCATGGCAACGAGCTTTCCCTCATCCTACTGTGAACAGAAAATGGTTGTTGGAAGGAAGAGCTCAGTGAGTCTCTCTGACCCAGCCTATTTTTTGTTCAGGCCCTTCCTTCATATTGGCTTTAAGTTGCTCCATGCATTGAACCAAATGTTCAGCTTTCAGATTTACTTAAGAAGAGGTGAGGCAAGAGGAAGTTAAATTTAAAGGAATAAAACATTTTTTTCTATCTTAAAACTATTTTTTATGAGGAATGGTTATCTGCTCTGAGCAGATAAATGAGGAGCAGACAGAATACAGAAATTGATGAGATCTGTACCATGTATTTTCTTATCAGTGCAGTGGAGCTACAGACCATATGGACAATGAAATAAAAATTCAGGGAAAGTAGCCAAGGGATACAGGGAATTCTGCAGGGCACAGACTACAGGATTTCAGAAGAGTGTCTGACAAATTGGGGTGATGATGTTTGATTCTATTTCCTGTCACAGAGACAGGCGTGTTGTAAGGTGGGTATTTGTTTGTGTCCGCTGCTTCAGGATCACTTTGAATCTTTACAGCAGTGATTAAGCGTGTGGCATGGGGAATTGACATGAAACCCTGGGCTTAGCTCTGGAGTGACAGGCTTTCTGTTCTTGACACAGTCCTGGAGACACTTCAGGCTGACATCCAAAAGGGTCTTATTTGGCTGCGTTTTCTGTGAATCCAGACATTGCAGTTTGGAACAAAAAATCATAAGTCTTCTCAAGGGTCAGAAACATTTAAGGAAGAGGTCACCCAGATCTTCCAGGGGACCCTGTACTTACTGATAGGAAGTAGCCATTCCATATGGGAGTAGTCTGGGCTGCATCATGGTGTGGTGACAAGTTCTTAAACCCCAAACAACCTCCACCTTTCACTTTTTCTTGTGTTAGCTGAAGAACTCTGTTTAGAATGAAAGCTCTGGATTCCGTTCTCAAAATTTCCACTGTGTTTGAACTGGAATTTTGTCTTTTTCAGTTTCTCTGCAAGTGGATATTGTTCCTAGCCAAGGGGAAATCAGCGTTGGAGAGTCCAAATTCTTCTTGTGCCAAGGCAAGTGCCCTGTGTCCCACTGCACTTCAGAGCTCACCTAAAAACCCACGGGGCAGAGCAGAAGCCCCCTAAGTGACAGGTTGACAGAACCACCTAGAATTCTGTGGTCTAAGGATAGTAGTGTAACTATTCAAGAGCCAGGGGAGCCTTTAGGCTCTCTTTCTTCCTGTCACAGAATGCCCCATTGGGGTGAAATGTGTCATTTTGACAGTGGAGGAGGCCCAAAGGTTTTTGTAGAAAACTCAAACAGAGCTCCCAGACAATGAAATATCTCAGGTCTGCCGAGCCATCTTTACTCACACCTCTACAAATGAAAACAGTGCTGGCTTGCAAACAATGCTCCAATGAGTCAGTGTAAGGCTCATTTCTTAGAATCACCCAGACCTGAAAAATTCAAGAAGATCTAATACTTGCCTGAAAGCAAATTGAATGCTGCTATTTCTCTGCTTGGAAGGACAACTCTCCAGGGTTTTCCAGGTCTGTTGTGAATACAATTCTGTGTCCCATTCCACAACCACAGCTCTGGGATATATCAGGAATATCCTGTTTAAGTTAAGAAATACACCCAGTTTCCACAGCTCCTATTAATATCAGGAATTGTCCTGCAGAGAAAAAGACATGGAATTAGACCTCGGGTTCTCTGTATATAACATGCCTGCGATTCAGAACATGGAAGAACCAGGAAAGAGCTGAGCTGGGTATAAACTATGACATTTAGCAAGCAGCTCTTGGCGGGGAAGGGCCGTTAAGTGCCATCAAGAATTGCATTGAGTGAGGTGGCTGTGGTCACTGGATGCGCTCGCACGAGCTCTGCTTTCATTACAGCAATTTCACTGATCTGGAGGTGCAGCCGTGAAGCCCACAGCACATCTTGCAAATAGTGATATTTATTGAAAACACGATGGGTTCTGAAAGGAAGACTGCCTCATTTCCATACTAAGTGACTGTGCAGGGCTGGGTGGTGTGAGCTGGGCAGGGTGCTGTGTACAGAAGCAGAGCAATCTCACCTGCTGGATCCCAGGCCTTCACCCTGCTCATGTCCAGGCATCTCAGCGGCAGCAGTGTGCCCAAAGGGAGGAGGTCTGGGTGGTCTGCTCCCTTCTTGCAGCATGTAGGGGGGGTGAGTTTGTTTGTCTGAAGCAGCAGGTGCCGGAATGGTACTCATGCCACTTTGCACAGTCTGATGCTAGAATGGAAGTGGTCCAAATCTGCACTCCTTGTCTAGTCAGCATCTCTCATCTTCATCTCAGAGGACCCTAACTTATTGCTCAAAAATAAGCTGGTCAGTTGGCTCTGACCATGTAGGCTCTTGAGCTCAGGTCCTAGATATACTAATTCCTTTTAGTTTCCATTCTGTGAAGCATGTCAATTCCAAGCTCAGTGCCCAGCACATAGTGGGTCCTCATTAAACATCTTTTATCTCCCCTCACTAAGGACAGGACCACTATGAAGCAATATGGATACAAGTGACTGTGGCATTATTTCCAAATATTCTAAGAGGTATTAGGCACACTATAAGGAAACAGACATGGAACTTGGCTCTATACTGTTCTGACACCGTTGGTTATCCCTGCCTAGACATCCAGCCTTGACTGATTTGCCCTTCCATAGCTCTTACTAAGTAGCGACTATCACTCTGGCAATACTGGGATTTGGACTCAGGGTCTTGTTCTTGCTAGGCAAGTGCTCTACCACTTGAGCTAGCCCCTCAGCCCAGCCACTATCACTCTGGAGGGACTTGATCTTCTTGATTTCAGTGGTTTGAAAATAATCTCTTCCTTCGTAGTGGCAGGAGATGCCAAAGACAAGGACATCTCCTGGTTCTCTCCCAACGGAGAAAAGCTCAGCCCAAACCAGCAGCGGATCTCAGTGGTGTGGAATGACGACTCTTCTTCCACCCTCACCATCTACAATGCCAACATCGATGATGCAGGGATCTACAAGTGTGTGGTCACTGGAGAAGATGGCAGCGAGTCTGAGGCTACTGTCAACGTGAAGATCTTCCGTAAGAGCCTCCCTGTTTCATATTCTCTGTCCTCTCCTTTGTCAGCAAGATCTGTGGGGGGGTTGTAAGAAGAATGAGATAGTAACAGAGGGACCAAAAAGTGCCTAGAAGATTCTTTTTTTCTTCCTAAGAGTCTTTTCCGACATTGCTCAGAGTCCTTGTATGTTCTCCATTGGTCCTTGGCCAACCCAAAACTCAAAAACCTGGCTCCCACTGGTCTCATTACATAATCCTTAGAAGGCTGTTGTGGGTGCCTCTGTGCCTTCCCTAAGTGTTGACTGATGGGTATACAATTCAAGCTTTCCCTTATTACTCCACTACCCCTGCTGGCATGGAGCCCAAAGGCCAAGTGGGATGAGACATTATTTAAACACTCAGTGCCACTGAAAGCAGGTGATTCTATTGCCACTGAAACCCCATCTGGAGGTGGCATCTCATTACCTTGTTATTGTGCATCTTTTCTGTTGGATGGAGTCACTGTGGGTGACAGCTAATGTGACCATCCCTATTTCCACAGTATTTATCACCACTAAATGGGTCTCCTTTTCTTCAGAATTCTTTCTGGGAAAGTTGAAATAGGGTCAGGGGTGGAAGTCAGAGTGGGAGACAAAGAAAGAACTGATGACCCCTACTACCACTGACCAAATGTGATACTCATTCATTGCATCAGTGCATTGATCTTCACTGGCATCATCTTGCATACCAAGGTATCCTTGATGAAGACACTTCTTTTCCCTCCGTAGACTCTTTTATGTGCAAAATATAATAAATTCAGCCCTCAGTGAAGACCTATTAGTAGCTAAACATTGGCAATCTACTTCCCTACTTGTGCCAGATGCCCCGCCTCCTATCGGTGACCAAGTGCTGAGTGGGAGCCCCTCTTGAACAACCATATGTATGGATTGAGGCTTGCCTGGAATGCAAGTCCAGGCAGTATGCTCTAGTGAGAAGGGATCTTGTGAGGGAGGCCACCATCTTCCTCACTCTGCCCTTGCTCATTTTCCAGAGAAGCTCATGTTCAAGAATGCACCAACCCCACAGGAGTTCAGGGAGGGAGAAGACGCCGTGATTGTGTGTGATGTGGTCAGCTCTCTCCCCCCAACTATCATCTGGAAACACAAAGGCCGAGATGTCATCCTGAAAAAAGATGGTGAGACCTGAATTTCCTGGCACCTGCCTTTCCCCTAGGACCACTAGATCACTAGATTCCCTGGCTTCCACCTGAACTCACCCCTGAGGCATTCTAAGGTAAAGTCCAAACCCTCATGCAGTTTCCAGGTCCTCAGTGGACATATGTCCATAGCTGGTGTATTCCACCTCCTGATTTTCTCTATAAAGCAAAAACAAATTCCCAGTAGACTATTGATCTCAGCTCTATTTCAGAGCCAGGGACATATTTTCTTATTTCAGCAAGAATCCCTACCCACAAAACTGAAGTTAAGAAAAAGCTCAGCTACTTGCCTGCAGATTCCAGAGTTTTCTGACTGAGAACCTGCCTCTTGTCTCTTCTAGTCCGGTTCATAGTCCTGTCCAACAACTACCTGCAGATCCAGGGCATCAAGAAAACAGATGAGGGCACTTATCGCTGTGAGGGCAGAATCCTGGCAAGGGGGGAGATCAACTTCAAGGACATTCAGGTCATTGTGAATGGTGAGATCTGTTCTTCCTGCTCTCTCCATTGGTTTTCCCAAATTATTTCCCTTAACTTTTTCTTTAGTCTATAAAATAAATCTGATTCTGACTCATTCACCCATCTCAATTGCATCCCTTCCCCACAATAGCCTCTCAGTGGTTGTTTTATCATTTTTAATACCCAAGCCTTTTGAGTTTTCCCAACTATGGGAGGTTTGAGTGCCGTTCATTGTTTGTAGCACTAGAAAATTTCTGCATCTTGCTAGTAAGTTCTTATTCATACTCATTGTCCTTGATGATACCACAATTGGGAAGTTAGTCCCCTTGGTTCAATGTGCAGATAAAATATTACAATCAATTCAGGTCTCAGAGTAGTTGGCATTATGGTCCATGGGTTGATTTATCTTAATTTTCAGTGTCAAATAAACACACCCACAGAATCGATCTGACATTCACAAGATGTTTATAGGAAATTATAATGTCAGAACTAAGAAAAAAATAAGTAACATTTGAATTGTTTTGACTATTGAAATATATATATGGCCAAACTTTTCCCCTCTTATTCCTTTAGTTAAAAAAAAAAATCAGTTGGTAAACAGGTCGTTTATGACCGTTTCAAAGAAATGTCAGTTTTGGTAAGCTGGTGGATTTTAAAATGGTGATAACCTTGCAGCCACCATGAACAGTAGTTCACCAACAACTAATTCCCTTCTGGGAACTGAGTCTTCATTTCCTAAGATTGCTTCCTATCTATCACTGTTTTCAGTTGGGAGAAACATAAATTTGGGTTCATAATGCTTTATAATTCTGTTCTTCAGAGAATCATGCAACTCCCATTCTAAAATCAACTTAGTTAGAAGATTTAATGTACCACCCAGTGTTCCCCTCTGGTAGTTATATAGTGTCCATTGATTGAGAAAATACATAATGGCAAATAGCAACTATAAACATGAGCAAAATGTGATATTAATCTTTCTAAACTCTTAAAAAACAATAATGTTTGTAGGGAACTCATTTATTCAATTTACATTGATTAGGTAATTTACACTAATGCTGTAGCTGCTGGGGACTCTTGACTCCCAGGTGGAGACGCCCCGAACTGTGGGTCCCTGAAGTGTCTCCTTCAGGCCATTGGGTTCTTCCAAGTTTTCACAACCACCCTGACACCATTCTTTTCTTCAGTGCCACCCACTGTCCAGGCCAGGCAGAGCATTGTGAATGCCACCGCCAACCTGGGCCAGTCAGTCACCCTGGTGTGTGATGCTGAAGGCTTCCCAGAGCCCACCATGAGCTGGACAAAGTAAGAAACTGGCTTGTGCCTTGTGTCATGGGCAAGAGCAGAAGGGGCCCCTAGGGACTGCTGTGCATTGGCATTTCAGTGATATGGGTATAGACTTCTTGGAAATCTCAACTCTAGTTGAAGAATGGATTCTTTTCTGTAAGATTCCCTTGCCTTACAGAGAAGGTGCAAGACCTTCATTTTCAATCTTGTCAGGGCAAGTCCTGAAGGTGCAGGTGGGTGGGGGATTCTCTGAAACCTTTGTGAATGCAGTTTATAGCCTTTGGACAGATTCAAAGAAGTGGATAAAAGAATGAAAGGGATATGTGGAGGTATGACTTAGTGTTTACCCTTTTTGTGAAATCTGAGTCTCTCCTTTGGCTCAGTCTGTATTTTGCAGAAACTAAAAAATAGACATCTTATGCCTGTGATCAAAATCATCAGCCTTTGCATTTCTGCACCCTGTAGAGACGGGGAGCCAATAGGAAATGAGGAAGGTGATGAGAAGTACATCTTCAGTGACGACAGCTCTGAGCTGATTATCAGGAAAGTGGATAAAAATGACGAGGCTGAGTACGTCTGCATTGCTGAGAACAAGGCTGGCGAACAGGATGCATCCATCCACCTCAAAGTCTTTGGTAAGGACTGGCGGTTAGTGTCACTGCTCTGCCACAGCTTCTCTTACCTTGCATCCTCAATCCATCAGAAAAGGTGTGTCCACTCTACCTTGGAAGGTATTCAAGGATCAGCAATTTCTTGTAAGCTCTAACACCTGAGCCCTAATCCAAGCCACCATCCAGCCCGCCTCAGCAATGCAATGCATCCTGGTTGGTCTCCCTGCCTCACCTGTAGTCCCTTTCAGTCCCTCTAATCACAGAAGCCAGAATGGCCCAAGTGCCTCCTCTATTTTCCAAATCCTTCAGTGTCTTCCTATAGCAAGCAAAGTAAAATCTAGACTCCCCGCCATGATCAAATGGACTCTAGCTCCTGTCTTCCTCTCCATCCTCACCCTTCCTGCCCTTTGCTCCACAATGAAACCTTTCCAATCACACTGGCTTTCTTTCCATCCCTCAAACACACCAACCCTGTTCCCTATCTCAGTGTTTGCACTTGATGTTCTTCTGCCTGGAGTCTCTACTCTGAGTGTCTTCTTAGCATGATTCAGAGCACAACTCAAGCTCTTCTTCTCCATGTATTCTTTCCTAACTGCCCTGGATAAGACAGTCCCCTATCACCACTTCCACCCAACTTTCCACCATGAATATCTTTCACGATTCTTAATGTGCCTTTTCTATGCCCTTAGAAGTACCTGAACTAATCTCATTGACATGTTTTTTTGGGAATTGTTGATCTCCCATCTCCACTAGCATGTAAACTCTAAGATGGCAGAATGCTGGCTGTCTTACATGCTGCTTTATCCATGGCACTATAAGTAGCACCAGATTCATAATAGGCTCTTGGTAAATGTCAGTGACCAACAGACTGGCTACCTCTTTTTGTTGTTTTTTTATTTTTCCTTCCTTTACTGGCCTGTATGCTATTGTCATAGTTATGAAAAGAACCCCTACATCTCTACTCACTTTGTCTTTTCTAGCTCAGCAAACTTCCATTAATTTCAGAACTGAAATGCTTTTTGACCTGACCTTGATAAAAGAATGTGTTGCAAGGAATTTTGTACCTTAGGGACTCTCAACTCTCTCTTCTTATCTATTTAAAAAGCACAGATAAGCTGTTCCACTCTTCACTGAACTGCTACAGTACAGGTACCCAAGGGGCATCTCTCATGTATGTCCCTCTTAGGTAGTTAAAATGTGTATCTGGAAACCAACTTTGGGATCAGCTTGTTTAGCCTAATCAGGAAAACTATGTGTAAACACGCAGTCAAAATCAAATGTTTATATATAAATGGCCCTGCTAATCACAGATGAATCTTATTTATTTATTGGTGACAAGTGGGTTTAGAAATAAGTTATCTGTTTACTCAAAGTAACTATATGTACTTCAGAGTGAATGTTAAATTTCATGAAAAACAGGAAACATGACAGTCTTTTCTTTCTTATTCAGACGAATCTTTCCCCATCACTCCAACTTTATTTTTTCCATGTTGTAGAACAGATGCATTTGATATTTTACTCATTCATTTAACCAATATTTATTGAGCACCAAGGCTGCTGAACAGGGGCTACCAAGATAAGTAGCATTTAAGAAGCACAAAGAAGTAAACGAACATATAAATTATAAATGATAGCCAGGCACAGTGATTCTCACTCTATTCCTAGGTACTCAGGAGGTAGAAAGCAACAGGACTGTCATTTGAGGCCAGCCCTGGAAAAAAGTTTGTAAGACCCCCATCACTACCAAAAAAAAAAAAAAATGCTTGATTTGGTAGTGCACACCTGTCATTCCAACTACACAGGAAGTATAACCAGGAGGATCACAGTCCAGGCTGGCTAGGCATAAATTTGAGACCCTATTAAAAATAACTGAAATAAAAAAAGGGCTGGGGGATGTGGCTGAAGTGGGAAAGCACCTGCCTAGCAAGTGCTAGACCCTGAGTTCAGGCCCCAGTACTGCCAAAAAATAGGAAGAAATAAATGAAAGGAAGGAAGGAAGGAAGATAGGCAGTATCAGTCAGCGACATTTGAGTGACTGCTGAGGACCCAGTCATTGCCAAGTTTGCAAAGATGAGCAACATACATTCCATTCTCATCAGCAGGGTTCACTGACTAGTAATGTAGATAGCCAATACTGATTGTTTTTGGTGGCACTGGGGTTTGAACTCAGGGCGTCATGTTTACTAGACAGAAATGCTGAAATTTTTAATGACAACCCCTTATTGACTTCATAGCAGCAGTATGCCCAGTGTTTTATAGATAATCTCTGGTCCTGGGAACTGCAAAGGAAGGACTGAATGAGCATTTCAGGCAGCAGGTACATCAGCAGAGGCAGGAAAAGCATGTGCTGTGCCACCCGTGAGCTGCTTGTGGACAGGACCTGTGTCTGTTTTACTCAGGCATATCCCCAGCACTGAGGACAGTGCCTGGCATGCAATATGGATGTCATTTGAATAAAGGCAGGAACAGCTTTAGTTCTGTGTGAATGAAGCATAATCTATGTGCCAGGAAGGTGAGCCTGGAATCCAGTTACCATCACTCATCTTTAACCTCATAGAGTAATACTAATACTCAGTACGAATAAGCTCTTACCCTGTGCTAAGCACTGGGAAGTGTTATCTGTAAATTAGCTGTTTTAATCCTCATCACAGCCCTCTGAGGTAGACTTCATTATCACCCCCATTTTATAAATGAGCACAAAAAGACTAGGTGCCCCCCGCAAAGAGTCAGGATTCAAACAGAGGCAGCTGGTTTCTAAGTCTGTTCCCTGAGCTGACAATGGTGAATGCTATCCCAGAAACCCAACAGCAGAGGCACTGTATCTGAAATGCCTAGGGAATGGCTAGTGATATGGAAACTAATGTTCTGTCCGTTGACCACCATGTTGCTCTTGGAGTCTCTGTAGAGCACACTCAACTCTAAAATGGCTGCTCAAGAACAGATCTGGGGTCCTCTTCCAGGCCCCTGGGAGGAGAGAGGGTGACGGCTGCTGCAAGAAGGAAGGGTGGGTGGTGAGGAGCCATGTGGGGCCATGGTTGAAAGAAGAAAGTGAGTAAGGTCCAGGGGAGGGAGAGATAAAACAAGGAAAATAGGATGTGGAAGCAGGAAAGACAGTTATGTCTTCCCAGCCTTCATCCTTGACACATACGCCCCTTCTGCTCCATACAGCACACACACACACACACACACACGTATCTTTCCCAAGGCTATAGCTGGGAGGATGTACACTAAGCAGCACAGTGGAACAACTAGAGGAGAAGTGACTGGGCTCCTGGAGAGGCTTGTAGGAACTTGTCAAATCCAGAGTGAGAATCCTCTGTGATATCCCAAGGAGAATTTATACAACTTCCCAGAAGTAACTGGTGCCTCATGTTCACACCCTTTCCCCTCTCCTTTTTACTTCAGAACCTCCTTCTCCCTCTCCTGGCCTCCCCCATTGGTCTGGTAGACTGGTATAGGGCTGGGAACCTGATGAGAAGTGGCCAGCTGGTTAGGGCTCCAGTTTTTCTCAGTCTTTCCTTCTCCTTCCTTCTTCTTCTGGCTTGCCATCATGGACCATCACTGGGGAGAAGGGATGCAGGCTTCCCAGCAGTAGCAGAGCCTAGTGAGTTGAAAGAGGAAAGAAACCTGTAGCTCAAAGAATAAGAAAAAGCTCAGAATCTTGTGATTTCAGAAAGGGAAGGCAATCAGTATGTAAGGAGCATAACTAAATTAGAGACTATTGCACTTAAGTGACATCATTTTTTCCTAAGAAAAAAGGACTGGTTCTAGCATGCACTGCCCTAGTTATCAGCTAGAAGCTCCTTTTGCTAAGTAATTGTGTTCTACTGTCCTTTAAAGTTGGCACTGAATTGCCTCTGCTCCTCTCCCTATGGGCCCTTCTGCATAGGTATTTTTGTCTCCGCAGATTATTACATTTGTGCTGATGCCCTTGAGTCTCATGGGTTGAGGCAAGTTTGCCAATGGGCAGCAGAAGCCTTGCTTAGCTGGCCTCATGTGACTAAAGGAGCCCTGTGGGTAACAGCAGAGGACCAGCAGAGCTCTAAAAGAAAATGTACCTGGTCATGCCTTCCAGGAGTCCATCCAACCTCCCTTCTGAGAAGCAAGGTCCCCAGGGGTATTTGTTGCACTAGGGTTGCCTGAGCCTGGAATGTGCTGGAAGTAGACAAGTCTGGCTCTTAGGGCCACAAACACACTAGTGGGTTTACTAACCCACAACATGGCAGTTCTCACAGGAGAGTCCATGAGGAGATGGACCCATGAGGATGCAGTGGAATGGTCTGAGGCACTAGCCCAGCGAGGCAGGTGGACAGTAGAAGAGGAATCAAACACCAAGGGCTCACACAGAAATTAAGATGGAGCAAGGACCATTGGAAGATGAAACCTAGGGAAGATTCCTCTTGGTTCTGGAATTCAGAGGGAGGGAATCTTCTATAAGTAGGGTGACCCTGCATCAGTCCTTATTTGTCCAAAAAAGACAATAGTCCCCATGTAATTATTTTACTCTTACTCTGAACCTTCCGCCTGTGTTGACAACACTGCTGGAGTGAGGATTACGTCATCAGTGAGATTGCCTTCCTTCCATAGCCTTCCGGAAACTGTACAAAATTAGCCTTTGTTAATAAGGCTTTTAATAAGAATATAGTCTGCCTTTTTCAAGAGACTTTTATAATGCACCTTTTAAAGCCATCTGGGATGTGGATCCACTGAAGCCAAATATTAATAGATTTCCTCTGACCCTTTTTGGTCTTCTGTTGACCTTTTGCTGCCAGGACAAGTTGTTCTGAGTCAGGAGAAGGTCACAGACACTGTCTAGATCTTAGCATCTGAGTTTCAAGGGCCAGAAATCCAGCCACTTTAGGACTGTCTTCAGACCCATACATGATTATTCCGTTTAAGGAATCAGTTGTTTGTCTGCATTTTGCTTTGTTTTGTTTTTCTTTGACTTTTCACTCTGTGATTTTTGATGGTATTCAACTTTTATTTTACCTTATTTTGTTCTACCCTCTAAACCTCCTATTCACAGCATTTAACACTCCCTCCATCCAATACAAGTTGTGACCTCTTGGCAGGCATACTTAGCAAGATAGACACAAAGACTTCCTATAAGAAAACTTTAGTCACATGGACTACATCAACTCAAACTTGAGATAATTTAGTCACTTTGGATTAGGACGTGCCTATGTGCCAGCCATCAAAAAAGGATTTGCTTAGTGGACCATTTGTACAGAATCACTTTAAGAGGATATTTGAACTATATATGTAATTTTATATGCCAGCAGACATTTGCTACAAAATATAGCTCTGTCATTGTTTTTCAATTATTGAAGAAGCCTCAAGGGCTGGGCACAGTGGCTTACATCTATAATCCCAGATATTCAGGGGACAAAGATCCAAAAGATTGCAGTTCAGGGCTAAACCTGGCAACAGTTAATCACCAACAAGCTGCATGTAGTGATGCACTCCTGTGATTCCAGATACATGGGACACATAGATAGAAGGATCATCATCTGAAGCTGACCCAGGCAGAAAACCTGCTAGGCACTACCTGAAAAATAACTACAGCAAAAAGGGTAGAGGGCCTGTCTAGCAAGCATGGGGCCCTAAGTTCAAATTCAAGTACTGCCAAAAAAGAGAAAGAAAAAGAAAAAAAGCAGCAGCAAGCAACCTCAACTTGGGAGAGGTGATGGATAGATAGATCAATAGATAGATAGATAGACAGACAGACAGATAGATGATAGATGGATAGATAGATAGAGCCATAAGTTTCTTACCTTACTTTGGTTACTATATGAATTTGAATATATAGAAAACATACTTATTTCAAAAATTATTGATAATTCTGATTTTGTTGTTATTATTTGTCTCTCTAGCCTGGCCTTTTCCTCTCTTAGTGAAATAAGTTACATTTGTTCAGCATTCTGGTTTCTCTTCTATGGGAAGTTTAGCAATTTTAGAGTATAATTGTTTTAAATTGTGAAAATTCAATTTTCTCTAATGTTTTAACATTTAACAAAGCTTTGGAATGCTTGTGTTTCTTACATTACCCAAAACATTTGGAAAAAAAACTCATCTCAACTGCTCTCCTTCCAATCCTCAGCCCACCCCAAAGCCCCCAGCCAGTTACTTGCTTGGTTTCTTCCCTCAGGGTAATCCTAGTCATTAAGAATCTCAGCCATTTGTGCTCCTCTCATTCCTTCTTTCTATTACTCCCACCCCCACCTGCCCTCTGTTCATTTCCACTTCTAAACCTTCCTTCCTTTGCTCTCTATTCCCCCTGAAATGACCTCATTCAGGACTTGATCTTACCTCACATCTGGGTCATTGCCCAAACTTCCAAATTGGCTTCCCTACCTCAAAGTTTTCTGCATCCTAAATCATCTTGAATTTTTCCTAAATTAACCTTCTTGAAATACAAATAATCAAACACTGTCTGTAGACCTCCACCAGTCCGTGGATAAAATTCCAGTCATCCAGCCTTGTCTCCCTCTTCCTCATGCTTCCCTACTCCTCCCAATCCTTTCTTCACATGTTCTCACTTCTTTGCTTTTATTCAAGTGGTTTTCTACTCTTGAAATGACTCCATCTCCAGACCAAAGTTACACCTACTGAAAATCTCATGGCATAGTCCTAAAGCCGCCTCCTCATGAAGGTTCAGAATAGGAAAGTGTCTTTTCCACATCGTTGCTCCTATGTACGTTGGCCATACACTCTTACTCTATAGGATATGTTTTAATTACTATGATTTCTGAGTTGTCATAGACCTACTTCATTGAACCCCTTGGGGATTCAATTCTGTATCTCCTACCACACCTAGAATGGACTTTGAACTTAGGAAATAGATAAACTTTTTTGAATGGGTATATGTCATCCTTTAAACTCAGAAACGTACATAATCAGATAAACTCAGAAACAAAGAAATGTTTTGTCTTTTCAGCAAAACCCAAAATCACCTATGTAGAGAATCAGACCGCCATGGAACTGGAAGAACAAGTCACTCTCACCTGTGAAGCCTCAGGAGACCCCATTCCCTCCATTACCTGGAGAACTTCCACCCGAAACATCAGCAGTGAAGAAAAGGTATAATGTCACATAAGAGTTTCAGGGCCATGGAACAGACTCAAAGCAGATTGAGTTTGCCCCACGCCCAGTTCTCTTTGGTGAGCTAGAAGGTGGGATGTGGTCACCAGAGGCTGCAGGCAGGACCTGCAGTCGGCCCCTACCCCACCCAGCCTGCCTGGACTTGGCCTGCTGAGCATCACCTTACAGTGGAACAGGCACAGTTCCTTGCACGGATTGGCAGGGGTGTGATGGTAGTGAGTATGGTTAAGTAGATGATCTGGAGAGGAGGCAGTAGTGATTTTCAAACCCAGGGTTGTGGAGCTGTAAGGAACAGGACACGCAAGATCCCAGGGCACCAGGTGATATTTTCATTATCTCAGGCGCACCCAAGGAAATGTCTCCCAGAAATGACAGGGATCAGATGAGCTTATTAATTTTCTTCCTCGCGTTTTGTGTACTCATGCTATATATGCACTATATGCACAAAAGCTTGGTTGCCTCTGCATCTGCCTGTATTCTTGGTCACATTTGGAGTTCATTTTGTTCTAAAGGCAAAAATAATTAGCAGTTTCTAGAGGATGATGTTTACACCTGGGCTCTGCCATGTATTCACTGAGGCAATGTATTCATTCGTAGGCAAATTAAAATGATCAGGAATATTTAGGTTTAAAGCATGTGGGTTTATATACCACTGGAAAGCTGTCTTTATCACTGACAATTTTTAAAAATGGAGTTGACCTCCCCTTTGGCCACTGAGTGGGCCAAAAGCAGAAGGAAGAAAACACTTGGTTTTAAAGGAACTTAAACCCTCTTAGGGTCCTTTTCCAGTATCATCATGCATGTCGTATAGCAATGGCTAGGTTTTTATTGGCCCAATTTTTATTACCTACTTAGGAATAATAGCTTTATCCTTAAAGAACATTTATAGTGGTTTGCTTATTGACCAAAATGTAAAAATGATAGAACCTCTCCCTTCTGCCTGCCTGATGAAAATTCCTAGAAACAACAATAAACTCAAATAAGGCCAGGAAAGATAGTGTGAAATATCAGAGCTAAATTTGGAATTTGCATTTTAGGAACTGATTTCTGTCCCACTAATAGAAAACAAAGCTAAATCCAAAGGAACAGAAATTGCTGATCCAAGCAACCTATTAATTTTTGCACGTTTTACATCCAGAGTTGAATTCTGCTTAACAAAACAACTAAGGAACTGCTAAATATTTTTGAAACTCACATATGCTGTTTGAAAAGCCAAAACCAGCTAGATTAGGACATGTGATGTTTACTTGGATACTTTCTTTATCAACCTTGGAATTAAACCCTCAGCTAAGATTTCGGCTCCCATTGTGTGTTACATGGATTGAATGTACATTTCAGGGCTTAATCCACAGGCTCACTGCTTGGCAGGTTGTTTTTATATCAGACTTAAAAGTGGATTTGTCCGGAGTGACCCAATGTGTATTTTTGACCTACAGTGAGGGGCAGAAACTTCTACTCAGATGAATGACGCTTTTAAATTCTATATCTTTGCTAGGAAGAACTCAATAGACCGGAAGGATTATTAAGATTTGTGCCTACTTTCGGTTCTTCAGTAGGTTATCACTTCTTGCTTATACCTATGACTTCGTTTTTACAGAATGAGAATAAATAGCCAGGAACTAATACTCTCATACTTACTAAATATTGATACTGAAGGTGTCCAGCAAAGACCATCTCAAACATAATAAAGACTGATTTTTTGTACAGTTCAGTTTTCAGTGTAGATCATGTCTTAATCTGAGATATGTCTGTGTAAGCCCATTCACACAGGTTGTCTTATGGTTTCTTTTGCTATGGACTGCCTTCAAGTTTAGTTGAAGTGACATTACTGGAGCATAATCAGTCAATGTTACAAGTCTTCCAGATCAGTCTGTACTATAACACCAGAATAATGTATTTACCTAAATGAAATTCTACACAACAAAATTTGCCATTTCTGATAATTATATTGACATCAAAGAGGCATGATATCCATCTTGTAGTGCAGATAGCTGCTAATAATTAAGAAAACAAACATGGACTATCCATGAACGTATTGGATCCCAGCCCAAGTCACTTTTACTTTGGCAACCTCCCTCATGTTCTCCTCCAACCACAGTTGCATTATATATAATTAGACATTGAGATTATTAGCATCATTGAATTGCAGGAGTGGAAAAAAGAAAATAATTTTCTTTTTAAAAGCAGGATGATAATCTAGGCAGGTCAGAGTAGAAATTGTATGTAATGGAGGAGGTAAAGACACCTCCTGAGACTTAAGTCACATAAAACATCAGCTTCATAGATGGTCAAAAGGCACCTTTTGAGGTTATCTAGTCTCATCTTTCTAGCATCCGTGCCAGAAAGTCACTCAGCCCCTGTCTAATAGATGATGGCATCGGTCCCCGTGGGACAGTTTGCCAACACTGATGATCAGGAAGGAGTGCTTCCTGTGTTTTGTACTATGAGTGCTCCCCATCTCTGCCACACAATCTTTTGTCTGAGAGTCATTGAAGTAGCTCTTCTGTCTCCCTCTAGCCAGTCTCCCCTTCTTAACACAAACAGCCATTTTCACTGTTTCTCATATGTCATGGTTTCCACCTCCTTTCCCCTACCAGATGTTCTGCTCTAGACTCTAGTGCTTCCCTAAAACCTTGCCATGCCTAGTGTCACTTATGCAGACCTCAATAGGGTCATCACCTGGATCTGGATATCCTCATGCAATTAAATTAGCCCTTGAGTGGTGACCTCATTCTGTTGCCTCAGACTGAGCTTGTAGTGAAATAAAATGTACAGGTCTTTTTCACATGTATTCAGTGTATTAAAGCTACCTATCTGCCATCCTGTTCTCATGCAATTGATTGCTTAACCAAAAAATGAGGGATTTTATATTTATTTCTGTTAAAAATTGTATTTTTTGTTGTTGTTGCAGCCCTGTTCCTCAGCAGGGTTATTATGGCAATTTGTGAAGAATATTCCTTCACTGGGACTGTCCTGTGCATCACAAGTTATTTAGATTCACTGGCCTCTTTCCCCATAAATGCCAGTGGCCACCTTTTATCATTACTAAAAGTGCCACATGTACAACCAGTCTAAATGACTATTTCAGATCATCTTTCGAATCAATCAAGACTCACTTTTTTGAAAACTCAAAAGTCTTTGAGTCAGAACATCTCAGCCCACATGGGCCTACCCCTATTTTACATACGTATTTTAAACATAATGAAGTAGAACAACCAATGGTGTTCCCAACCCTAACTGTAAAGTCCAAGGACAGGTAGCCTTCCCAATGCAACTGTCAACTAACATTTATATTAGGTAATATTTCCAACTTTGTGTGAACACTTACATGAAATATCTTTGTCTAAGTCACTGACGAAAATCTTGACTGGATCAAAGACAACTGCAGAGCTTCTTAAGATGCCTCAATGGCGTCACTCTGTGTTTATGGCTCTGAAGGTGATTCCACAGCACCACAATTCTCTTATGATTCTGATGACATTTGTGGAAGGTTCGGATTCCTTTAGTAAAGTTAATTACAATATAAGTGAATTTAAGCAGCTTTGTCTTTTGCATCACTACTTGTGTCTGATATTATCCTTCTTATAGGAAGGGGAGAAAAGGCTTTCACCCAAAGACACATAGTGACTTTCTAATGGAGTATCACTCTTCTTTATTACAAAAGGAAGGAAGAGAATAAGCCAAAATAAGTACAGTCAGTCTAAATGTCATACCTTATCCTTGATCTATTCACCAAACTCAAACTCAAACCAGTCTATTCACTGGTTTGAGAATGATTGTTGGTTTAGTTCAGCACTGGCAATAGCTAGGCTAAGTCTAATTGTTTGGATCATTGAGATAATCAAGGTAGACCAGTTGTCTAAAAATTGATCCATTTCTTAGAGGTCACTATGGTCTTGACAAAAAAAGAACATCAAAATGGGTTGATTTGATGGCATGCATGAAGGTCTTTGTGACACTTCGGAAAGTTTGTGCATCTGTGTCATTTCATTCTTGGTCCTACACAGATTCATTGTAAATCTTGCCAGGTGTTTGAGTGAGTGTTGTTAAATTCCAGGCCCCATTTACATTTTAGTGAAACCTAAGGATGATGACTTGCATACTTGATCCCTGGCAGAAAAGAAAAACATCATTTGCTTATTTGAACCTCTCTGGGCCTTTGAAATGACTAATGATTAAGGAAAAGGAGAGTGGGGAAGAGCTGTGATCAGAAGAGAACAAAAAAAAGGCATTTTGTGAACCTGGAATCTTGAGCTAACAGGAAATCCACAAACAGACCTTTAGAAATTCTAGATTCTTTGGAAGCTGGAACTTTCTTTTTACTAGGAAAAAAATTCCTCATTCAGTACAAACCCAGTGCCCATTTTTAAACACTGGTGACTACATCAAGCAATTAAAGCCTGGTTTCTCATGGCGTGCACAAATGTAAAACGAGGAATGTTTGGGATAATTATAGGGGTGCTTTGCTTTAGTTTATATACATACTCTTTCAGATTTCTATGTAAGACAATAAAATATGAATACCAAAACAACCTAGAACTAACATTTTTTGGAGCATTACTAATCATATCCTAATTTATTTCCTAAGTGTATATATTTGCATATCAGATTGACTGAAAGTGGGCCACACTTTCACATAATTATTAGGTCTAAGACGTTTGCTATCATTTCAACAGGAAAACAGGTAGGAGTCAGGCTACTAGAACCATTGTGAAATTAGCAGGTAGTTATTCCAAAAGCCACAGAACCATAGTGATTGGGAGAGACACAGATGAAGAAGATTTGAAAAACAACTCCAAATGATACAGCTCCTTTAACAAAGATCTTGATTCATGCAGCCCTGGCATGTAACAAACAAGCTTTTTAGTGGAGTGGAGTTGGCAGTGACATCTGACATGTTGGCCCCCTGTTACTTCGTCTATGCATGTTCCTCTCTTCTCATTTTCTCCTCCATCCCATCACCATAGAACAAAACCTGGTGTCTCCATTCTCGTTTCTCACCAAAGCTCCTTGCATTTAGTGGACTCACTGCTAAGTCATTTGCACTCCATGGATTGCATTGCTATGTCTCTAGCATCTTTCTGTCTTTTTTCTATCTGAACATCTGGGACAACCAAGCATCCACGCAACCTAACAAAAAGAGCAATGCAGCTATGATGTCTTTGACTCCCATTACGAAAACAGAAAAATTGTCAGAATAGATACCCAAGTGCTGGATATATTTTAAAAAATTAGATGTGGGTGGAAAATTCCCTGAACCTCAATGTCCATGAGTTATCTCACTTCCTTGTGAATGTTGGAGGAAGCTGGTTACGGCTGAGCCTCCAAACCTTCTGTCTTTAAGGAGTGGATCCCTACCATAAGCACTCGACATTTGATGTCCTCAAAGTTTTCTGATCCATAGTCTCAAAGACTTCATACTCCTCATTCGTAATGTACCTTTCTGCTCCTTGCTTTGTTCCTTTTTTTAAATAAAAATTTTACTTTAATAGGATGCATGCAGAGTTATAAAATGCATGAGCATAACATGGCATTAGTATATCTGTGGTAAACTATCTAAAAATATTCAGAGGAGGAAACCTAGACTCTGAGTATCTCTAGAGTATGTGATTAAAATTAGTAGTGCCACCAAATATTAGGAAGAATATTTAAGATGTTTTATAATAGAAGCAGTCTAAAATATCTGCTTATATCTGTGTATGTGTCTATAAACATTAGGAATCTCTTTATCTTTGAATTATATAATTTAATGTGCATAAGTGGGGAAAACTAAACATAAGGTAAATCCTAAATTAAATTGGGAAATAAACACACCATTGAAAGTGGGCTTTGGAAAAAGTTCAAATTAAAAAGAAGCTGCATGTGCACGAAATGCAGTATGATACATCCGTTCTCTAAAGCAACATGTTGTAAAATTTTACTGCTTTCTTGTTGTGTTTTATATCTTGTTCTCTCCAGGCTTCGTGGACTCGACCAGAGAAGCAAGAGGTATAGCTTACCTGACCACTAGCCAGTCATTAGTTTTTAAAGCATTACAGTTTAACTCGCTATGCAGTTAATAACCAGACATGCTAAACTAATTAGCACTTTGGTTAGATTAAAGATAGGTCAATAGAGTTAGACATTACTTAGCAATAGCATTGTTTTGGTATGAGCAAGCAAGCTGTGTTGGGAGTGGATGAATAAATCCTTATTCTTTCCTAAAACTGGATCTTATTCTTTTGCTGGTGTTGATAAAATCACCAGGTAATTATTTTGATGGATACAAATTGCCCCAATTCCCAAGCCAGGCATTTTGAAATGATGAAATATTTTTTTAAGTCACACGTGGTGGATGTGGCTTTGGACCATAAAGTCACAGAGTGAGTGAGGGATCTAAAAGCACTCACTCAGCCCTTTCCTTTCCAGCTCAACTCATCTTGTTGCTTACTTGTTTTATAATGAGTGGTCTTGGTAAATTATCACATCACATTCATCTCAAAAGCAACACAAATGACATCTCTCACTGACTTTCCCAAATTGTTAGATGTATCTGTTATTTTTACAGAGCACTGAATTTATGAGAGTGGAATGATTTGGCACAAATGGGCTAACATTTTGTAAAGTCAGTAGCATTTAGCCTTTGAGATTTCTCTGCCTGCTTGGTTCCATTTTAGGTAACAGAGGACTCAGTTTGACATCCAGAGTTAAATAGTAGCCTTTGATTTTTTATCGCTACACTCCAAGACGCTGCATATGACCACGCCCATCATATTTTATCTGACTTGTGTGGCTAAGCGACCTAGAGTAAAATAAAATCCAGCCTACTTTAGAAGAAGTACAAGGTTGTAGTCTACAAACACTTTTGATTAAAGGTAACCTTGTGTCTTTCTCCAAAGGAGCTTTCATACTGCAAAGCTATAAGCACAGAGGTCTTACGGACTACGTATTCTAATTCAGTAAATCTCTCCTCTTAGTCTTTGAGGAATGATAATTATTCAGAACACGTAATTCATGTGTTCAGGTCATGGTTATAAATATTTAATGCTGCTTAATATTTAAAAGTTGACTGCCTGTCCCCAGGCATGGATATTACTTTCTACATATGAACATGCCACTCTCATCAGATCTACTGCATCATAAGTCCTCTTTGTATTGCACCTTCTTCCACATCATAGGGACTGTGGTTAATGCATGTCCTCAGTGAAATGCTTCTCTCCTGTGACACGGGAATCACTTAGTGCTGTCACAGGCTGGGTGTTTTATTGCCCAAAAGTCATGGCCCCATAGGTTGGGGAAGAGAGAGAAGAAGGGTTAATTTTTGATAAGCCAGCCTTATGCAGCTACCAATCTCATTCTGCTTTGCCTGTACATCTTTCCCTGTCATTCTGATCAAGAACTAGTTACAGGAGGAACTGAGATTTATCAGAGAGCATGAAGGAGGTGTTAAGAGAATTATTATTATAAGTGGAAATAATGGATTTACTCCCAGGAAAGCAGACACCTCACTCCATTTTCCAGAAGTGTTTTTGTCTTGGATATCTCACTTTAGACATAATTGACTTTCCACTGAATGCTGCCCGTGAGGCTCAGAAGTTCTGTTTTCTTCTATTTGTCTCATTCATATTTGAAGATCATAGGCCAGATGAGTATAAAAGAAGCTTGGGTTATAGCCCGTTCTGTTCTGTCAGCCCTGAAAAGCTTTAGCACTTTTGCCTAGAAGAAGGGAGACAAAAATGGTTTGATGAGAACTATTATAACCACTCTTCATGCTTTTGAAACAGAAAAAAAGAAAAGGATCTTTTTGCTGTAATGATCCTTTCACTGTTGCCATGAGCTCATCTGCTCCCTCTAAGGAAGCCAGGGTGGTCAGCATGACATTTGGTTGGGATGGCTTGTGGTTGGCACTCCCTGACTTCATCCCTGTGCAAGAGTAAACCACATCAGGGGAAGACAGTCCACATGCACTGGAGTCTGTCTGTGTATCCTCAGAGGCAGAACTGGCCGTCTGGCAAGTCCTCTCCCATCAACAAACCTGCAACAAGCCACTGAAAAATAAGAAATCTTTATTGGGGACTGCTTATTGATCTGTCAACATCATTAAATGAGAGAAATCTGCACACAGGGAAACTTAAGAAAAGAGACCAGTCAGGAAAAAGAAAAACAAAACAAAACAAACAAACAAAAAAAAAAACAAGTATGGCTGTCCCTAAAACCATTTCCTCAGCCTCTCTTCAACAATCTTCTAGTTTATTTTGAGTGAAGACTGCTCATCCTTCTCTTTGTTATTGTTAATGTCCTACTCTGACTTGAATGACTTCCTCTGCCTCTCTTCCATGTAGAAATGTTCTCTTGGCTTCTTGAGGATTGTGTGTGGCAGCCCAAGGACAAGTGCAGCCTATGTCACAAAGAATCATAGTTCATCTCATTGTTGCCAAGGCCAGGAGACTTTGAATCTACTCTGTTTTCAGTTCTGCTGTGCTTTGGGAAAATAGGAGTGACAAGTAGATCAGTCCAGCCCTTTAGAGATACCTGCAGGAATGGCTTCATGTTCTTCCTGGCCCTAATCTTTACTGACAAGCAAAGATTTTTGTTTGGCATACAAAAATAGCCACTGGGATGGAACTGCACAGCACTGTCCATACACAAGAAAGAGTTCCCAGATCCAGTGTCTCCAACAAACTGAATGCTGCAAGGCTGTCTAGGAAGTGCCCCCACCTGTCTGCTAGTGTCTATTATTAATGGGTGCCTTATCCTGGGATGCACACCAGCAAGCCTCCCAGATTTACATGTCAAATGGGAGCACCTGGGCATTGATCTCAGAGAGAAGAGTTGCTTAAGGCAATAGGTGTAATGGTTTTGCTTGGTCCTTACTGACAGCATGCCCTGCCTCCCAGATAGGACACGTGACAGGGCGTATATGACTGTTAATAATGGCAAAAGAGGCATCTCATGATGCCTATTGAGAATGCTGCACAGGCTAAAGCTGCTTTACTTCTGAGCTGTATGACATTACAGTTGGGGCCTCCGGCTTCCAAAACAACCTATCAAAAGAGCCTAAAGCCAAGTGTTCTTTCATTCTCTAAGGACCAAACCCATGAGATGGTAGGTGCCAGATGCAGAGTACCTTTCACCCATCTCTACCCAACATCATATGCTGAAGAGAAGAGGGTTGCCCACCCAACAAGGAGTAGGGCCTTTTCTTCAGATTGCTGACTTTCTGGAGGGTCTGGATTTAAGCCATATGCCTAGACCCCACCAGGGCCAACCATTTTACTTAGAATACTAAGAAGGGAGACCCCTTGGAAATAGTCCAGTACCTACTGCCTAAGGATCATGGGCTAATTCTCTTCTTGACCAATTACTGTAATTCCATAGACTCAAGAAGCCACTAGGAGTATAAAGAACTAGGAAATGGTGTTGACTGTGGTGTCAGGGATCTCTCTGTACCATTGACACTGGAGAGGGAACCCTGTCACCCTCACTTCCAGCTCAATAGCTCCTGGCCTTTGAGTTGTTTTGTAAATGGAATTGTTTCACTTAATCCAAGAAAAAGAGATATCTGTAGAAAAGGGATGTCTTGCATAATTTCCTACACATTAGAAATTCTCGTGACATGTGCACACCATGGAACTGGAGGTGGGAAGACAGGAAGGAAAGGATGGGAGTGCAGGTTTCCCAGATATCATGAGCAAGGCTGTTGGTGCTAGAACTTCTTCTGGTCAGGACTTTTCCTTCCACTGTACACATCCCAAACAAACTAGTCTTGGGGGACCCAGCTTTCCTCACCCCAAACCAATTTGGGCATATAATTCAGAACATTTGACATAATTGAGTCCCATTTTCTGTTATGGATTCACCCAAATTCCCACATGCTCCCAAAGCTGTTCTCCCTTCCCACCTTAGGAGACACCTAAAGTTAGATCAGATGTTGGCACAGAGGAGAGAGTGTATGAGACTGGTCACAGAAAAGCGATGGCCTAGCCACCCAGCCCCGACACTGCTGTGGCCCTCTACCTCCCTCAGGCTCTGATGCTATCACTTTCCCTCCTGGCAGACGCTGGATGGGCACATGGTAGTGCGCAGCCATGCCCGGGTGTCTTCCCTGACTCTGAAGAGCATTCAGTACACAGACGCCGGCGAGTACATCTGCACTGCCAGAAACACCATTGGCCAGGATTCCCAGTCCATGTACCTTGAAGTGCAATGTGAGGAATGACTGGGGAAAGACTGGGGAGAGGGAGGAACTGGGCAGGGATGCGAGGGACTAACAGCAGCCAAGACCTATGCTGCCACCATGAGCTCTGCCATATTCCCTATGGCAGATGGCCATAGGCTGTGTCAGAGCTGTGTCCCCAAGCCACCCCCCACAGACTCCATCTCCAGGCTTCTTACAAGTCTCTCACGGTCTGAGCTGCCCCACAGCACATGTGAACAGGAATGCTGAAATGACCCTGACCTCTACTATACCAGGGTCTAGCTCTGCTTTGGGACACACCTGCCTTCCCAGTGTCAGTAGACAGGATGTGGGGGCTCCAAGATAATAGCGATTATATTGATAGTCAGTGTCATTCACTGCAGATGCCCCCAAGCTACAGGGCCCTGTGGCTGTGTACACGTGGGAGGGGAACCAAGTGAACATCACCTGCGAGGTATTTGCCTACCCCAGTGCTACAATCTCCTGGTTTCGAGACGGTCAGTTGCTGCCGAGCTCCAACTACAGCAATATCAAGATCTACAACACCCCCTCTGCCAGCTACCTGGAGGTGAGTCAGGGTGGGGTGGAGGGGGCAGGGTAGACCAGGCCATGTGACAATGGGTAGGCTTCTTGAATGCAGCTCACATCTCTCTTGCTTCCCTGACACATCCTGAACTAGAGAGCTCTTGGCTGGAGAGCAAGCTGAGTGTCATGTCACCCCAGGTCTCCTTTCTCAGTCATATTGGTCCAGTCCATTAGGCTAGACTGGGACTATGAAGTGGAATGTGCTTTACTAGTTCTATTCTTTACTGATTTAATCTTGCAACTAAAGATCTGGGATGCTTGTAACCCAGAGACTCCTTCCTTCTAAAGGTGACCCCAGACTCTGAAAATGACTTTGGAAACTACAACTGTACTGCAGTCAACCGCATTGGACAGGAGTCCTTGGAATTCATCCTTGTTCAAGCAGGTGAGTTCCCCTCAAGGTGGTTTCCAAACCACCTTAAGGTGACTTCCCTGCCTGGCTAGCCTATCTTGTATACTTCAGGAATTGTGAGAAGAAGAGAGGGCCAAGATCAACAAAGCCAGATGGTCAGGAAGCAGGGAGCCATTAGAGATGTGAGAATCTAAACACAGGATGTGTTGGTGGGGAAATCATAAGGAGAAATGGGCCAAGAGGACGGAATTCAGGTGATAGGATCCCCAGGAATGGGCAAAAATGAGAGAAGCATGTTTTAAGATTGGGAGATGTGGTCCTAGGCCAGAGGGGGCTCATCTGAGTCTCCATATGTATCTCCCCACAGACACCCCATCTTCACCATCCATTGACGGAGTGGAACCATACTCCAGCACAGCACAGGTGCAGTTTAATGAGCCAGAGGCCACAGGTGGAGTGCCTGTCCTTAAATACAAGGCTGAGTGGAGAGCACTGGGTGAAGAAGTGTGGCATTTCAAGTGGTATGATGCCAAAGAAGGTGAGTTGGGAAGAGTGGGCATCTCCTATAGGATTGAGTGGCTTGGTACTTGGTGCTGGAGTGCACACTCCCATCTGGCATTCATCAGATCCTGGCTTTGCATTTGAGTAAAGTGGCACACCCCTCTTAGCTACTGGAGTTTGCCTGATAGCACCACCTGCTGACCTGCCTGGGTTCCTATAGACATTAGGATCTGTCCCTTCTAGAATGAGCTCATGGTCACGTCTGCGTGGAGGATTATTGGCTTTCTGGTGCTTAGAACCTATTCTCATGACCCTGCCAGGATAGATGTTTCAGGCAGAAGCCCCACTCAGATGCTGAGCACAACCAGATGAATATAGGACACTTCTGCAGTGCACCTGTGGGTTTCCTGTGCTTGCAGGTCTCTGCTGACACCTGCTCAGTCCTGCCTGCCAGGTAATTATGATAATATCCAAACAAGGAAAGATGGCAAGATAAGTCTGCTTTGAAGTCAAGTCTATGAGATCAGTCAAGCTAAAGATTAGGCAAATGACCTTCCCACACACAAGTCTCCTTTCTCTGTCAAAAAATGACGCCTGGATTGCTGCAATTTGAATACCCTGAGCCCAGACCACCTGAAAACAGATATATTTATGTCTAAGTCCCCTGCTGGAGTTTAACTGGAATAACTCAGTGAAGTATGTTGTGTGTCTATGGAAACGTTGATCCTATTCTAGTGTGTGGGATCTGGGTTGGGGTGGTGCTGGAATAGGGGCGATCACAGCATTCAGAGACAGGGCCGATGTAGTTTTACCTCTGCCATGAAGCTTCTGGGTGGTGGGGAGAGAGGGTTGAAGGGGAACCACTGTATAATTAGGATTGTAGTGAGAAGAAAACAATCCTTTCCCCTTCCTACCTTCCCTCTGAAATCTCATACTGACTTTGTGGCAGGTTAGCCCCATGCTATGATCTATGCCAGGCATCTTTGTTTAAAGGGCACTCCTAGGTTTTTCCATGGGAAAATATACATGACACAGATTTTACATTTAACCATTTTTAAGTGTACAGTTCGGTAGCATTAAGTCACAACCACCACCACTACCATCCAGAACTTTTTCTGACATCCCCAATTGAAACTCTACACATTAAACACTGTCTTCCCATTACCTCACCTCTCTTCAGAAAACAATGATGATAAACACCATCTACTTTTTGTCTTTCTTAATTGATAATTTTAGTTATCCTATATAAGTTGAATCATGTAATATTTGTCATTTTGTGTCTGGCTTATTTCATTTAACATAATGTATTCAAGGTTAATTCCTGTTTTAGTGTGTGTGTCAAATTTTCATCCCTTTTAAAGACTGAATAATAAATATTCTGTTGTTTGTCTTTGCCATGTTCCCTTGATCCATTCATCCATCAATGAGGGGACATTTGGGTTGTTTCCACCTTTTAGTTATTGTGGACTCTGCTACTGTGAATGTGGGTGTGCAGGTATCTGCTTGAGTCCTTGCTTTCAGTTTACCTGTGTATTTTCCCAGAAGTGGAATTGTTGGATCAGATGGAGGTACTATTTAATTTGAGAGGACCTGCCATACTGTTATCCATAGCACCATTTCGCCAGTATGCTCCTACTTTTTTGTGATCCATCCCATATTCTCACAACAGCCAACATGGAGGGTGTCGTCACCATCATGGGCCTGAAGCCTGAGACATCATACGCTGTACGACTGGCAGCCCTCAACGGCAAGGGGCTGGGCGAGATCAGCGCAGCCTCCGAGTTCAAGACACAGCCAGTCCGTAAGTCAAGTCAGCTATTCTTCCTCTTTCTCATGCCTACTCTTTCCTTGTGGACAGCTGGGGGCTCTGAGCTGACCCCATCATGGTTCAAAAGACAGCTTTTGTCTTTCAGATCCCTGTACTCATTGTGGCCCACCTAGCTCTCTGGCTCTCAGGGATGGCTGACATATGCTCCTTTCATCTTCTCTTTCTCAAAGGGGTTTGGGACACTGTCCTGGTGTCTGGTCCAGCTTGTTAAAATAACAGCCAGGGGTAGCCCCCAATGTGGCGTTGCAGCAATGGGAGAAAAATAGCAGTGCAAATGGAAAGATTGAGGAGATTACTTTTTGAAACAGGCCACAGAGGCCCTAAGCACTCTGTGACTTGAAGAAGCTATTAGATACAAAACAGTTCACATAATTCCTGGTGGGGTTTTTGATGCAATAGATATATTATATCATAGAAAAACAGAGACTGATGTAGGATATGTGAGCAGGTGCAAAACCCTCACAGTTCAAAAGAGAAAAGGATGGCCTGGCCTTGAACTTTCTGTTCTTCCCTCATTCCCCACAGCCTACCTGCCTCACAGGCTCTTTCAGGAGAGCAGCTTCTCCCTGATGCTGTTCATGGCTGCATCTCTGTTTCCTCCATCACTCTCTCTTTCCTTAAACCATCCCTGCCCAGCTTTTCCCTCACTTCTCACAGCAGCCAGGCTCTGAGCAAGCTGTGCCCTATCCGTGGCCCCTCTACATACCAGAGTTACAGCCTCAAGAGGTTTGAGACCCTCTAGCTGAAGAAAAGGGTATAGAATCAGAGCTCTTGAGCAGTCCATGGCTCCTGGATTTAATGCTCATGGGAGAATCCTTTACTTCCTGGTCTTGGGAGCCAGGTCCCTGCAAAGGGACACCCCCCACACTTACCTTTTCCCAGAAATAGAAAAGCCCATCTCATCTTCCTTCGCAGGGCTTGCTTTTTCTGGAATTTGAAGTTAATTTGGATAATTCTGAGTTTCCAGCTCCATATACTTGTGGTTCTGTTATTTCTTTTACGATCGTTATTGTTTTTTTTCCCTGGGTTGTCTTTGGTTTTTCTTTCGTCTGGTTCCTTCATGGGAAAATGCAGATAGCCTACCTCCAGCGTAAGTGCCTCTTCATACATCATACTGTTTCAATAGCGTTTAACATCTGCTAGTTCTAGCTCTTAATTTAGTTCTGGTCCCTTTTTTTGTCCCCTAGAGGATGAAGTAAATGATGCTGTCTGGGCCCTAACCACACTGACCTTAGTCTAGTTGTGCCCTTGTTAACGTCTGTAGGTTACTCCAAGAGGCTAACACTGTTCCTATTTAGAGCATGCAATTCTGTGTCTTTTGAAATTGTGTTTAATTGATTAATTTTTGCCGTGTGTTGATAATGTTTGCGAACCAAAGCATAGTGGAGTCTGCGGATGTTCCTGAGAAACACACTTAACACCACCCCATCTTTAGCCAGGAATCCAGAAAAGTGACCCCTTATGAACCCACTATTTAAAATGCCTTCAAGGAGAAAAGAACCTGAAAGAATTTTCCTTTGCTTTTTAGGAAATAAAAGAAGGGCGCTTAATTGCTTCCTTGCTTTCTGTCTATCACTTGGTAGCTGGAGGGGAGAGGAAGTGGGAGACCCTTGCAGCAGTGCAATTATAAGGGTACAATTATAAGCTGTGTGAACTTTGTCTGGCAGGCAACTGCTGGGAGGTTAAACCCCCAGTTCTGGTCAGTTGTGTTCATTGCACCAGGCTACTTGAAATGGAAAAGACTTAGAAGCTAATTTTGCAAATCTCCAGTCTAGCACGGAAAGAAGGGGAGACTTCCCACAAGAAGAACACCTTAATTGTGTAAACTGTAAATACAGGACACAGAACAAGGATGGACAGAGAACTGACCAGCTGCTTCAGGGTTGAAACTGTGGTCCTACCCTCAGACTGTATAGACACTCCAAGCTTCACTTACCTAAGGCTCCACTTTCTTCCTAGGCAGAGCACAGAGAAGAGTGAAAGGAGATGTCACAGACCCAAAAGGAAAGGTATTCAGGAAGCTGTACATTCTTTGCATAAAAAGCTGCTTGCTAGCTCCCAAAAGATGCTCAAAAAAACTTATCTCCTTACAATTTATTCAGAAATATTGCTGCAACAGCAAAAACCTAAGTAGCTAAGCGTGGGTGTTAGGAGATTTGGAGCAAGTGGTAAATCTACTCCTTCAGCCGAGTTGGTGTCTGAAGACGTCAGAGTGGGGGCTGGAGTTGTAGGACTGCAGCTGCCTGTTCTGGGCTGACAGCTGTGCCCCACAGGAACCAGGAGGAGCAGCTCTGGGCAGAAGTGCTCCTTCCTTCTGGATCCTTCCCAAAATCCTTAAATGAGTCTTCAAGCTCCTTCTTTTTGGGGCATGTAAATGGAACGCTAGTTCTGCTGCATTAAAGAGAGGAAGGATAGGGTGAGGCCTGCTACTGATATCTGACCAGTGATAGGAGCTTGAGTACTAGATCTTGGGTTACTGACTCAGAGTAACTGGGTCTTGGGCTTCAAAGGCCTCAGTGGTTTCCATTCACTGCTAGCAGGCCTTATAAAGATGAGATTTTTTTTTTTAATATAGCAAGGGTTGTTCTCAAAATTATTGTTAAAAATTAATGCTCACTTAAAATTTTTACTTTTAATTTTTTTTATAAAAGGAAACCTCTCTACCTTGTCATTTGTTGCCTGATAGTATGAAAATGGATAGTTAACTGAGACTCAAGAAGCCCTTTGGAGGATAGTGGCGTCATCTCTCCATTCCAAGTAGATTATGAATGGTAAAGAAACAGTGACACTAAAGTCCATTTTTCTCAGCCATATATATAAAGTCACACTTAAAGACTCAAAATGCAAAGTTCTTTTAGATAAGTTAGAAACAAGGCATAGTCTTAGAGATGAGTGTGCCTTTCTCCAGAAAGTTGGCAGGATGAAATGGTGAATACGTGGGAACATCACACTGTCATGAAGAAACCTTACTATGGCTTTACCTTGCAACCCCCTAAGCTTACTGAGTTGCTGATGTGAGGTCCTAGCCCAGGGGCTACCTGGTCCCCAGACCCATCCTGAGAAAGGACACCCTTGGGAGGATGATGCCAATGTTTACAACAACTGGGACAAAACCCACTTTTTGGTGCTAGGAAGTGAGAGCAAGTCCTAGAAAGAACCTTTTCTGAGTTCTCACTTCCACTCCTTAGAAGGCACAAAGGTCACCTGATCTCAGGTGAACAGGATCTTCTATCCATTTAACTGTGTGCTTGCACCAAGACTGAGAACCTATAGTGTTGGTTCCTGACACTGGTTCATCCCATTCTATCCTATAGGACAGTGGGGTGCACATGAGCAGTTTGATCCTGTGACATTGTAGTTGGACCCTGAGAGCCCCCCTCAGCCACAAGGGAGAGAAATCACAGGGACATCAGAGTTGTATGCTAGGCAGAGGTTCTGGCTGTGAGATCCCTGGTTTCAGAGGTGTTAGTTGAGGCCAGTGTTTGGCATGGATTCATCCCTTTTGAAGTTTGTTGAGATGCCTCAATAGTGGGATTGCTTTCCTGGTGCCTTATAGACTTCCCCACATGCAGAATCATAGGTACATGGAAGCCAGGGATGAGCAGGTGAAATTAGTGGAAGACACAAATAACTAAAGGACCCGTGCTTCCGAGCTGTCAGACAGAAAGCATGGCTTCTCTGTTCAGAAGTTTCTTTGTGTGCACTTCATGAGTGTGCATGAAGATAAAGAGGAAGCTGTGAATCTAAACAAATAAAACCTTAGCATGGGGAAATGTTCCTGTTTTACGTGTTTTTAAGCCTCATACCTGCATGATGTCATGCCCCTCTGCTTACCTAGGGAGGGGACTTTTCCTGGTCAGAACTACATACAACTTACTAGGAATTTATTTTTCCCCATAATTAAACTATATACCTGAAGAATTTTATGTCCTGAATGTTACATCTTAATTTGCATCTGTACCATGAAGCAAAACAAACCATTTGTTTCAGTGTGAAGGGATTACTTTAGAGTATCTACTTTTTAAAAGAGATTTTTGTTTTCATATGTTGTCCCCAGGGTGACAAGGATATGTTAAATGCACTGTAATACATGGGATTAAAGCACATAAAATTCCATCCTTTTGCCAGAAAAATATGAATGATTATGCAAACAATTCTCGCCAAAAAAGTAAAAGAGAGAGAGAGACTCAGAGGAAGGCAGGTTTTTTTGCTTTGTTTTATCTGAATTACAGACCATCCAATCACGACAGTTTAGTAGCCTAACTTGCTCTGATTCCAGTGATATTGTATGCTGACAGTTTAAGCAGACACCCTTTTCTGGAAGGCAAAGGGACACTAAACCATAAGCATTAAGGCGATGTTGGCAGCATATTAATGCTTTCCCAAATTTTCATCTAGCTCTCAAAGGGAACTTTGTGATGTGATTATTGAAGGGACAATTCCTGAATGTTTGCCAATGAAAAACTAAAGATCCATTCAGTGTCTGTGCCCCCAATGCCCAATTTCTAAATGCCCTCCAAGCAGAGAGTTGCTTAGCATTACTTGTTTAGCCCCTGTCTCTCCCACACCCCCTTTCTCTAGGGGAGCAAGAATGACACTGAATATTATTTGCTCCACTGCCCCATGGCACCATCCAAATGGTCACATTCTGTGTGTTCTGGAGGGCACCAGTGTTCTAGTATCTTCTCTATCTCAGATGGTCATGAACCCTACCCAGTCATTCAAGCCATTTATTTCTATTCCATTCAGTTATTAAAATTAAAGTTAAGCATGTAGACTTTGCTATCAATATGTGCCATGTTTATCAACATGTGCATAAAGAAACACATATGTAGAATGCGACTTGAAAGCCAGTCTTTTTCTCCTCTAAAGGCACACCTTAAGCTGAGATCTAGGTTCCCTTTCCTGCTGTCCCTGTTCCTGTGGACACAGCTGGTCCTGCTGAATTGGCTGTTTGTTTTCAGCCAGGGTTT